TCAGGACGGCTCGCCATGCTTTTCTATACAAGGCAAGGATCACACAAACCCCGCGGCCACTTGTTCGGCGTCGTCGACGAAGATACTTGGTGTCCTTTTGTCGAGACGGCATGGTCTCCGGTGACGAGAAAATTGCAGGGACCCATGAGCCTCTCTGTTTGGGAGAGGACTGGCACGCATTTTCGCCGCCAGCCGATTCCCAGATTCTTGCTTGGTTCTTTGATGCTGTATATGACGCCGACGTGGACACAGAAGAACCGGCAACCAAAACTTTCCAATGTGCCGCCTGTTCAAGACGCGATGTTGCCGCGGAAGACGCCGCCGCCGCCAGCCGCCATCATGATCTTGAACTCCTCGAAGCAGACCTGGCCGTCCCCATCCCGATCGACGCCGCGGATCATGCGTCGGCACTGCGCGACGGTGGCGGCCTCCCCGAGCCCGCGCAGCACCCGTGCGAGCTCGGAGGGGGTGATGACGCCGTTGCCGTCGGCGTCGAAGACGCGGAAGGCGTGGCGGAGGTCCTCCTCGACGGCGGCGGCGTCCGAGGACGCCGCGCCCATGAGCGCCGCGAACTCCGGCAGGCTGATGTAGCCGTCGCCGTCGGCGTCCGCCTCCTCCATCATGCGCGCCACCTCGTCGTCGGTGGCCGCGTGGCCCACCCCCTCGAACAGCGCGGCCAGCTCGGAACGGGAGACCCGGCCGTCGCCGTTCGCGTCGAACTTGCGGAAGACGCGCGCCAGCTCGTCCTCTCCCTTCCTCGAGGAGGGGCAGGGGGAGAGGCTGGGCGTTCTGGAGAGAGAGCGCGCCGAGGAGCCGGAGCGGCGGCCGCTGCGGGAGAAGAAGGAGCGCACTTTGCCCATGGTCCTTGCGCTCTGGTTTCTCCGAGGTTGTGGTGGAGGAGGGAAGGAAGAGGTGGCGGTGCTTGTGGTGATGTTTAGCTCGCTGGTGGTGGCTTTGATGGATGTCTTGGCTGCGATTGCTTTGATGGCTCGAGGACACTGGCCGATATTGGAGAAAGGCTTGAAGGAGGGCGTCATGATTTATAGGCGGAGCGAGGGAAGCGGACAACGCGCTTACGGAGGAGCTGGATTTGGTTCAGGACTGGAAGGCGCGGCGGTTGCGCGTGGTCGGCTAGGAAAGTCGCTGACAGGTGGGGACAGCGACACCGCCGGGCTTGTTGGAGCCAGCCATCCGCGGTTCCTGACGGTTTTGCGCGTCCTTCGCGAGGCGAGAGGGTGGGGACGATGGGAAGTTGGGAACGAGTCCCGTGCCGGCCGGATAGGGCTGCCAGGTTTGGCGGCGCATCGAGAGAGGATAGTGGCGCGTTTCAAATCCAACTCGTCGCAGCACACGGATTCACGGACGATATCTTCAAGGAGTGGTCTGGCAACGGATCTTGGCTTCATGATGCGCTGGCTACCATGCGGAAACTAACGCGGCAAACGTGAGTGGGCACAGGCAGGAGATTTTTGTTCGGTTCCCTGTATCCGTGGAGCTGCCATACTGCTCGTGTTCTGGTATGGTGTGATTCGATCATCACCCCATGTGTCGTGTGTAGTTGGTTCGTTCGCTGCCTGCGGTCGAAGTAATGGCTGTACAGTATACGTGATCGGCATCCAATTGTCCATGCCGTTCTCACGTGGAGATGCAGGGCTGTGTTTTTACTACTTGTGGAGATGTTTGCCCGGGTCAGCCTCTATCACTGGTAATAATCACAGCGGGCAAGGCCAGTCAAGCCGCGGTAGTAAAAAAGCAGAACCAAACGTGTCCTGGCTTTCGGCCTGCTCGGGCCCAGATCGTGTTACGTGAGCGGTGAACACCGGCCGCACCAGCTCCGAAAGCGGCCAACCCAACCGCCTCGCCGGGGACGAGAGCGCCCACCACCCCCGGGGCCCGTCCGAGATACGTGGCCGCGATCCATCCTCGACGGCTGGGTTCTGCGCGCGAACTGCGGTTGTGCCTGCCCGCCATGCCGCAAGCAGGTCATCTGTGGCGTCGCGGGTCCGCCCGAAGCGCGACTGACCAAGCGAGCGACGACGCCTTGTCCGCTGCTCCCGTCGCCTTCGCGTCAGCTGAGACGGAGCACCGCGGCCGCGACGCTGCGGCAGTCCGGTCCCGGGTTGGCTGTGCCGTCGCGCGTGACAGGAAAGCGACGACGGGTCGGCCAGAAGGACAGGGACCCCGCTTCGCGCGAGGGATGACGACCGAATGTGCGCGGGTCAACGTCACAAGGTCCCGCTTGCTTGTTAACCAGAGCAGAGACGAGCCCACGGTTTTTTTTTTTTACCTTTCCCTTTGTCTCAGCAGGAGGCTGACGTCCTCGTTTGACGCTCGCTGTGTCGTCCCTCGTCTACTCCGCTCCATGCCCAATATTTCTCCTTACAATAATCTAGCAACCAAGGTTGTCGACCAGCACCCAGGTTAAAGGAGTGTTTAGTTCCAAACAGGTAAGGCTAAAAAGGGACTAAAACTCTTTAGTAGAGGAGGGGATAGCTAAAAGGTGTTTTAGTCTCTCTCTGTCTTTAATAGGGCATAATCTTTAATGATTTTTAATCACTTTTAATCTTTGTTTCTAAACATGAGTGGGACTAGAGACTACTAATGTGACTAGTTTTAGTCATAAAACTAAAGGTTATCCAAATACCTTCTAAAGCATTCTGATTACTAGTATCATTTCTCCCGCGTGGATTCTTTGGCCTTGTCGGCACGGTTTAGCCGTCAAGTCTCGCCTTTGGATAATATATACTCACACCGTGAGACATGTTTAATCGCGAGTGGCCGCCGTCGTCGTGACTCGTGAGCTCAGGTCACCGCCGACCGTACTCGTGGCACTAGTAAATTCAGCCAAGTGTAGCACGAGAAGGAGCGCACCAACCTCCTCAACATTCTCACTGCTCCTTCGCAGAAACTAACCGCAAACAGAAATTCGATCATAGGCGCAGTACGTGAACATGACGCCGCATTGCAACAGCAGCAGCGTACGAAGAAAGCGCGGCTGCGCTCTACAAGCCTCCGTACGTATCTCTGTTGCGCTTGTCGCCGATTGCTCGTTGTTTAAGAACGGGAATGGATAATTCATTGTTTATGACTGCTAATCTACGGTGTGCTCACCTATCCTAATGCATTTCAGAGAGATTACGTATGACCGTTTTCTGTAGCAGCTCTACAACCATTGCTTGTCGGTAGGTACTTGTTGCCATGCCAATGTTTGTCGCCATGTGCTGGTCAAGACCCGACCGACTCGTCGAAAGCACACGTGGAGCCGCAACGTGTAGACGCGCGTTCTTGTTGAGGACTTCTTTATTTAGGAGGTGTTCGGACGTATGGGGGTCTAAATTTTAGAAGGGTCTAAATTCTAAATAAGTTATATTAAATAAAGTTTAATTACAAAACTAACTACAGAACTCTGGTCTAATTTGCGAGACGAATCTAATGAGAGTAATTAAGCAATAGTTAGATGATGGTTACTGTAGCATTACTGTAGCATGACTGTAACAAAACATAGATTAATTAGGCTCATTAGATTCGTCTCGTAAAGATGTACCCATCTGTAAAAAGGTTTTGTCATTAAACTTTATTTAGTACTAGATTCTTTTTGTTTAGAGGCCTCTAAAATTTAGCGCTAAAAGAAACGAACAGGGCCTTAAGCTTTCACTTCGATCGCTTTCAGAAATCAGATGGTTCTAGAACGTTCCTTGCGGCGTGCAAGTCAAGTCCTCACAACATGTCCAAAAAAAAAGAAGTCCTCACGCACCGTCCTCTATTTGACACTGCAGACGACATCTGCAGATACATATCCACAGGCAGGCACGGCCGCTCGAAACCGCGGCGAAACTTCGCTGTAGTGTCGCGCTGTTACGTTTCCCGTGAGGCGTCAATGTGGAATTCTTGATGAAAGGAGGCTGGTGATCGAGGCAGGAGATTTTTGTTCGGTTCCCTGTATCCGTGGAGTTCCATACTACCTCTGGTATGGTGATTCAGCGGCGCATCGCGCATGTGTCGTGGAGTTGGTTGCTGCCGCCTGCCTGCGATCAGTAATGGCTGGACGTTATCTACATCCAGCTCTCCGTGGTTTTTCACATGGAGAGATGCAGGGCTCCGCTTTCGCTACTTCTGGAGATGTTGACCGTATCAACACAGTCCTGTGTCAACATCTATTTTTACAACATTTCAGAAAAAAAAAACTCGACAGGCAAAGAGAGTCCGTGGTCGTAAAAAGGGAGCACGAATCTGTTACGTGCGTCGTGCGCCGTGAAAACCAGCCGCACCACAACACCGAAAGCGGCCGACCGAACCGCCTCGCCGTAGACGACACGAGACGCGGGCGCCCAACCCCTGGGACCCGTCCGAGATACGTGGCCGCGATCCATCATCTTCGATGGCTGGGTTCGGCGCATGCGCGAGTGATGACCGAGCGACGGCGCGTTTGCTTGCTCCCGTCGCCGTCGCGTCAGCTGAGGCCAAGCGGCCAACGGGGCCAGACCGCGGCCGCGACGCTGCGGCAGTATCGGCGTCGTCCCGGGTTGGTTGTTGTGTCCAAGGTTTGCACTATCGAGGAACTTGAGAAAACCGACCGCCAGCGAAAACCTCGATTTTACTGATTTTCGCGATAACCGGTCGATTTTCGACGGAAAATTCAAATTTCAAATTTCGAATTCGAAATCGACCAAACCGGTCGATTTTCACCGGTTACCGACCGGTTTGTGTCGGTAACCGGTCGGTTTTGTCGATTTTTGACGCAGGACCGAAAAATGGCGAAAAGATAACCGATCGATTTTCACCAGTTATCGACCGATTTCGACCGGTAACCGGTCGGTTTGATCGATATTTTTTGTTTTAAATTTTTTCAAATTTTCAAATTTCAAATTCGAAAATCGGTAAACCGGACTTATCGGACCGGACTGATTTCACCGGTTTTCGCGAAAACCGACCGGTTTTCGTCGATTTTGAAAACCTTGGTTGTGTCTCGTTGGGAGAAAGCGACGGGAAGAGGTGAAAGAGGTTTTGGTCTAGTGGTAAAGACACCCGAGTAGTACTTTTGAGGTCTTAGGTTCGACTCCTGGTGGAAGCGAATTTTTTAGGATTTAACGGCATTTGTACTTTCAACGGTAGGCGACGTGGCCGTCGACAGCGAGGCGCCAGTGGTGACTTCGTCAATCTAGAGGATTTGTCGGCTCAGTCTTCGAAGATGCTTATAGAGATAGAGTTTGCGTATATGCGTTTATAGAGACGAGTGTGCGTGCGTTATGAGTGTCCGAGTTATACCGTGTAATTTAAAAAATAAAAACGACCGGAAGGGAGGAGCCCCCGCGCGCAACCGCGATGACGACCGATGGTGCACGGCTCAACGTCACAAGGTCCCGCTTGCTTGCTAATTAACCAGAGGTCCAGAGCAGAGGACGAGCCCACTGTATTTGTTTTCACCCTTTGTTTCCCTCAGCATGAGTCTGACGTCCTCGTTTGACGCTCGTGGTGTCGTCGTCCCTCGTCTCCTCAACAAAGCTCAATATTGCTATCAAAAAAAAGAAGCAAAGCTCAATATATTTTTTTTTCCTCATACTCCTACTACTCAACAAGGCTGTCGGTCAGTACCCAGGTTAAGCATTCTGATTACTACTGGTATCATTTCTCCCGCGTGGATTCATTGGCCTTGTCGGCAGGGTTAGCAGTCAAAGTCTCGTCTTTCTTCTTTGGATAAGAGTACTACTATTTACTAGCTTCCTTCGTTATATATTCGCCCGTGTCATGAGCTCGATCCCATCACAGACCACTCGTGGCACTAGTAAATTCCGACAAGTGGAACACGCCAAGGAGCGCAGCCTAGCTCCCGCAACATTCCCACTGCTCCTTCACAGAAATTAACCTGCTGCCAGATAGGCACCGTTACGTCTTACTACGTGAACATGTTGCAGCATTGAAGCGTACGCAGAAAGCTGAAAGCGAGTCCTCTGTACACAGCGTTTCGGCACTTCTTGCCGACTCCCGCTAACGTAAAATTCGTGGATGGCCGCTAATCTACGCTGATTACTGATCGCAATGTGTTACAGATTTTGGAGCAAATGCTCTTTCCAGTTTCGACGCTACCCAGATTATCGCAGCTCCCCAATCACACAATGCCTATCTATTCTTCCGGTGCCAACGTGTGTCGCCAGGAGCCCACGTAACTCCGGCGGCCGGTCAAACGCACACGTGGAATCGCATCGTGTGTACACGCGTTCTGGGTGAGTCGCTTTCCCTTTTTTTTGAATCTCTGTTCCCTGACGAGGACTCGCCCTTTCATCGATTTGACAATCGGATGGTTCTAGAAAATTCTGTGCGGCTCGCTGGTCAAGTCCTCAACACTGTCCTCGATATGACGCGAACTGCAGACGGCAGGGCACAGCTTACAAATCTACTACTTCCTCTGTTTTCAATATTTGTCACTGAATTTTACTGTAGCAATTTTGATTGTCTGTTTTTTTTTGCAAAATTTGTGGATACACTTCAATCTTTTATATCATTAGATTTATCACAAAACATACTTTATTAGCATTACATGTTTCTGCTCATCTTTGTAGTTTTTATAGAAAAAAACAGACGGTCAAAATTGCTACAGTAAAATCCTGTGACAGATATTGAAAAACGGAGAAAGTACCAACCTCCATTTCGTTTTACTTGTCCATTTTAACCACTTTATTTTTTTTAAAATACTTGGCACTACGCATTTTCTGAGATTTTATTTCCAATTTTACCCCTAACATGGCCCACTGTACCACCACAGGCCCATTGTAAGTAAAGACAGCTGCAGCATATTTTTAAAACTGAAAAAATATCAAGGCAAGAAGAAAATCAACACACGTCATCATTTTAACATCTACTTCAGGCTAAGCTCAGTACGGCACCTTCTGGAAAATTCACCAATTCACTGGTTTGCCCTGTTTACTTAGGGGCATTTTTGTCCATCTACTACAAAATCCTTGTTTCCTTGGGATGCGTGTATTGGTCAAAATGGACAAGTAAAATGAAATGGAGGTTGGTAGTACTTGAAGCAGCGACGAAGCTTCGCTGCAGGGTCGCCATTAGGTTTTCCGGTGGATGAGGATGCTTGAGCTGGGAGGATAGGATTAGCTAGTTAGGCCATGCGTTGCTGTGCAAGGTAAGGATCGCAGGGGCGACAACTTGTTCCGCGTCGTCTTGGACGTACGAAGAGATATATGTTGGGCATGATTTGATTGGCAGCTTAACAATGTTCTCTGCTGTTAAGCATTCTGGTGTAGCATTTGGGGGGTGTTCGTTGCATGGGGTCTAAAATTTAGAGGCAAGAATCTTGTCATTTAAGAGTATTAAATAAAGTTTAATTATAAAATTAACTACAGAACCCCTGGTCTAAATCGCGAGACGAATCTAACGAGGGTAGGTAAGCCGTGATTAGACGCTGGTACTGTAGCGTCACTGTAACAAAATATAGATTAATTAGGCTCGTTAGATTCGTCTCGTAAAGATGTACCTATCTGTAAAAAGGTTTTGTCATTAAATTTTATTTAGTACTCTTAAATAATAAGATTCTCTTTGATATGACAGGTCTAAATGCTAAATGCTAAAGCAACGAACACGGGCTGCTTGGATTCATTAGGCCCTGTCTTTAATAAGCATATTTTGATTCATTTGGTCCTATCTACGGCTGGATATCAAGTCCGGTATGGTTTGGCTTGATCTAGCTTGTTTATCTAACGATTTGGTTTAACTTAGCTAGGCTCGTTAAGCTTGCAAGAACCGTCCTTGATTTGACGCGCGCTGAAGACGGCAGCACGTACACGGTACATATCCGTAGGCAGGCCTGTACTAAAAAGCTGGAAGCGGAGACGAAGCTTCCTGCAGTATCGCAGTTAGTTATCCAGTGGATCAGTGGATGTTGGATACTTGCGCAGAAAGGATAGGCTTGCCATGCATTGCTGTGCAAGGTAAGCATCACACAAACCCCGCGGCAACTTGTCCGGCGTCGTCGACGAAGATACCGGGTGTCCTTTGTCGAGACGGCATGGTCTCCGGTTACCAGAAAGTTGCACGGACCCATCAGCCATCATTAGCCTCTCTTTTGTTGGAACATGTGGGGATATGATATGTTCGATCGCTGCTCTTTCCTCTCTGTTTGTGAGAGGGATGGCGTGCAATTTCGCCGCCAGCCGATTGCCAGATTCTTGCTTTGCTTCTGTGACGTTGTAATCGGCCGTAATGCCTCTCAGGACCACTGGCTGGTAGTAATCGGCCGTAATGCATTTTTTTGTTTAAGTTCTGTCCTTATCTTTTTAAATGGTAGTAAACGGCTGTAATCACTTCAAAAAAAAAAAGTAAACGGCTGTAATGATAACGGTTTTGGTTCTGTTCTGTGTAAGTCACGAAGATGATGAGAACTGTTCTCTCTTTGTTTGTGTTTATATTTTTCCAACATGAGATTCTACCTGGGCCGGTTCGTTTAAGCCCAGGTCAGTGCCCCCAGCCAGATCCGATCCGCATGACGGGCCAGGTTGGGTTTGTAGGTGATTGCCATCATGCCATGCCTGCGAAGAATTTTCTCTATAAAAAAAATATCTGCGAATTCACTACAAGAATTCAGTTGATCAATGACGTTTGTAATTTGTCATAGATTGAAGAAAAACCGTCATAAAATGGAATCTGTGACGATAAGGTGGTTCGTCATGTATCTCGCGTCATAGATTAACTCCGATGACGTTCCTTAACTTTTCGTCACGGATTGCTAAAATCTATGACGTTCCTTGGTCGTCATAGAGGAGCCCAAGCCCAGTCATGGCCCGAACCTTTGTGACGAATTCAGATCGTCATGGTGTATTAAATCCATTTTTAAATCTGCCCCCAAATTTAATCCAAACTGAATCCTCCCTAGCACCAGCCATATTCTTCAGAAATTGAACCACAAAGAACCGTATACAACATTCTTTAGAAATCTTAAAGTGGCAGTACAAGATCAGCTCAACGGTAACGATACAAAACCGTGGCTGACAATAATCATACATGGCAACTAAAATTTCTATTTCGACATCCAAAATAGAATCACGACGACATCCAACAGAGAAGCCTAAACCAAAAAATGTACAGTGATGACGACAAACGTGTGTGCCAATTCCAATTTTAATTTTATGACGGCAAGGTGGAATTCATCAACGTGTGTGACAAGTCCGGACATTGTTCGGCTTTGGGAGCCTCGCTGGCCCGACGATGATCCATGACAAATACTTAATCGTCACAGAATGATAGTGTTGGTGACGCTTACATGTAGATCGTCATAGAATAATAGTGTTCGTGACGTTCACTTCAAGATCGTCATAGAATGCTTGTGTTTGTGACGCTCACTTCAAACGTCATCCCTAATTCGTCATGGATCAACAGATTTGTTGTAGAGGAATAATTTACATGTCATCAGAGAGAAAATATGGTTCTAAAAAAAATACAGAGAGAAAATATACTGTAATCAACAGTGCAGAACTGCACAAGCTAGAAGCTAATGATCTTTGACAATGACATAGTGTTTTTCGGCGTAATTTGATTGACATCACAATTACTTTATATGTTTGAATCTCCTAAAAAAAAACTTCGTCTGGCTGAAGCAAACACTTAGGTTCAAAATCATGTCTTTCTTTCCACAATGTTTGTATGTATACACATGTAATTCCCAGCTCAGATGTATGCATTGTCTCTGTCTGCTGAGTAACTGAATACTGATACTCCTATGTTTCTAAATTGTTGACGTTGGTTAGTGCAAAGGCCAAAAATCAAAAAAAAATGAAAAATAAAAAACGGACGGAGTAAGCTAAGTAATGATTATATTAGGTTCCTCCCACAGCACGCATAAGCATTTTACTCCACTGTACGTTCCGTTGGTTCCCGCATTTGTAGCAGAACTCGTATCCACACCTGCAACAAAGAAGCACGATAGAAATGGAAGAGAGATTAGCACGTGCATGACGAAGAAGGCCTGACCACTTTAGAACAGTAGAACATGAAGAAAGAAGAACACATTATCCGCGCATAATAATAACAATAACAATGATAGAGGACTTACACGCAAGTCATATG